GACTGAACCTTTTGTAAATGCAATATGGTAAGTTTCATACTATAAATAAACTACTGTTTAAAGTAAATTTAGTTTTTCAATAAACCTTCATTATAGTATATTAATTAGAATAAAATTTGCTATAGACTAGTTGCTAATTATTTTTTTAAAAAAAAAAATTTTAGATAAAATGTTTAAAATTATGATTTGAATTTATAAATTGATTGGTCTAACAAAACAGTAATAATCTACTATAATAATACCTATTATATAAAACAAAACTGCAAATAAATTTTTAATATAAAGTATTCTAGAATAGATACAAAGCTATAAGTTACTAAAAAATAGATACCATATAGTATAAAACATATATATCAATCTAATTGCTTATTTGTAAAATTTCAAATTAACTAGCTAAAACATTTCTTAAGAGTAGGTGTCACTATTTCCAAATTCATATAAAATAGATTGTAGATCAATATTGTATAACCAATATCATATGATATCATATAATTTACATGTAAACAACATGTGATTTGACCAATCAGAATTAGCAGATATTTGTACTATCTAGAAAAAATATATAGCAATCTAGAAAAACTTTGATTATATATAAAGTTAATTTTTTTTAAAACAATATATATTGCATAACTTCACTATTATAAACAACCTATTTTAAGCCATATAACATGTAAATTTAATACAAATTAGCCAAGATATTAAAAAGTTTAATCAGAAACATTTTTTTATTACTATATAAAAATCTAATATATTACATAGATCATATGAAAAATAATCCATGTATACCTTATTCTTAAATAAAAAAATAATAAAAAAAAGGTAAAAAAAAAAAATTTCTATATTATATTTTTTGTATAAAATAAACACTTTTAGAACTATAGTTATTTATTAATAAAAAATAAATCTAGACTTGTCTACTTTTTTTGTTATATAATTAAGCTTGAAGTTTGTTTTTTAAGTGAGTTTATGATTTTTAAATCTTTATTTTCAATACGCAGATTTTTTGGTGAATTAGCTAAAAACAATTTAATATTTTTCAAGCTTTCTAATACTATATTAAGTGAAATTTGAATTGGGAGTTTACTCTTATCATTATCATTATTTTTCTAAAGTATAGCGATGATTTCTTGATTTGATGAAATTGTAGTTATAGATAATTCATTATCGATCTTTATATATTCTAATGCTAATAAAATATCATTAGTATTAATAGGAAGCTGTTTAATTAAATAATCAACTTCTAATTGGTTACTATAATATTCATCATAGCTATCAAATAGTAAGTTATTATTATCTAATTTAACTAGAAAAATTCCAGTTTTATGCTAACAATTTCAAATTGTTTCATTTAAAACTTCATTCTATACCAATATACAATAATTAATTACTTTTTTTATACTAACTAGACTTGGAGGAGTTTGACTTATTTGTACAAATTTATATGCATCCAACCAGTTTTAAATAAGGTAACATCTGCATTTAGCTTTATAAAAAAAAATTTTCATAAGTAATATACTATATTTAAATTTATTTACTTAGTATTATTATAATGTATATACAATACTTTAAAAAAGTTAATAATTCTAGCATCTATTGGTTGGATATGAGCTATGATATTTGGAGATAGTTTTTTTATTTTTATATTAATTAATACTAAATTTTCATTAAGAATATAAATTGAAGCCCCATCAATTAAAAGTAATATATATATATATATATTTTATATTAAAGGTGAGGTCTTGCTCATATTTTTATTTAATAATTTATATAAGTGATTACATAAAGCTATATAAAAACTTAATTTGTATACTAACAAATAAATATAAATTACATACAAGAATAAAAGCTCAGACAAAATTATTTGCAATCTAAACCTACTAGAGTGGTCAATATTTATCTAAATTTGGATAAATAGAATATGGTTAATAGAAGTGCTATATTTAATCCATGTAGTAGACCAGATATCCATTTTTAAAGAAGCCTGTTTTAGGGGAGGACAGATATTAGATTCAGAATATAGATAGTTGGCAAAGCCACAAGAGCAGCTGATTGTAGAAATAGTTCTGTTTCTTCTATGATTTTGGTGTAAAGAGAGGTGAAGTGGTGTATTAGATATAAAGTGAGTCAGAATCTGGTGGGCTTTTTTCCAATGTGAGAAGTTTGTACAATATAGGATCTATATGTTATTGTAAGTAAGATCAGAAATTTTAAGAAATATTTGTATAATTAGTTGTGAGGCTTAAGAATAAAAAATATCGAAAGAGTTTAAGAATTGAATTAAGGGTTTAGAAATAAGGCCTTTAAGTGTGAAGTAAAGTGAATAAGGATATAAAGTAGAGGGTAAAAGGTTAAAAGAAGGGTGAGAAGAAATTGTATATATTAAGTTGTTAAGTTGATATGAAGTAAGATTGAGGCTAGGATTAGTAATAATCTCATGAATAGAAGTATTGATATTTTGAATTAGAAGAGTGTTATTAGAACATGTATACCAGTAAGAAAAAATATCTAGGCTATTACAGGAAAAGCAATTAGAAAATGTAAATATAGAGAGGTATATAGAATGAAAATAAGAATTAGTTGGTAAAATATTTAGAAGTAATTTAATTTTGAAGGATTTTAAGTAATTTAATTTAAAATTAGTAAAATTAAGTGAAATTTTTTGGTTATTGTTGAAGTATAGCCAAGAGGCTTGCCGGTCAATTAAGTGAAAGAAGTGTAACTATTCTTGGGTATGCTATTGTAAAGACTATAGTGCGATAGTATGTACTTTGCAGATTGTTTTAATAAAGTATCTAGTAGGGCTTTCGATATAGGTATTATTTCAGAAAAGAGTAGAGTATAGATTGTAGAGATTTGTATAATTAAAATATAGAATAGGTGAGGAAGAATGGTTGTTTGCAAGAAGGTCGGCAAAGTTGTTAAAGAGATCATTTGAGTGGGCTTGAACTTTGTAAAAAGTAAGTTGAATATTAAAGGATTTTAATATATTAAGAAGTGTGTGCCAGATAGGCCAAGCATTAAATTTAAAGAGTTTAGAGAAGTGAGATGAAAGGAATTGAAGTTTGTTAAATTTAGAAATAATAGATTGTAAGTCAGTAAAGATTTCAATAAAGGAATTACAGAAAGTGTAGAAATAGCAGATATGATTACAATTAGTTTAGCTTTGTAAGAGGAAGGCCAATTGAGAATTTGAGCAGAAAAGCTTTGGATAACATAACTGTTGTGAACTTAAACCTAGCCAATACTCATAGAGTAATAGTTAGTACCAATTTGTTTAACAGAGCCATCAGTGTAAAAGGTAAACTGATGTTAAGAGAATTAGAAAGTGCAATGTGAGATAGTTTTTTGGAAGTTTCACTTTCTTGAAAAATATTAGAAATAATTAAATCAATAATATTGATAGTTGGCAAAGATGGTATATATAAGGGATGTTTAAAATCTGTAGAGTAAATAAAGTCAATATAATTGGCATTGAGATTAAGTTGCTTGTTAGCTTTCTTTCTTTTGAGAAAGTAGGTAGAAAGAATAGTTGATACTTCTAAAGTGCAACAACTAGTTATATGATAGGAGTTAAGGTTGCAACCCTGGCAAGGAGTGCAAGAAATTGAGGGTAAAAAATAATAGTATGAGGTAGAGGTATCGATATTGTGTTGCCAATGTGTAATAAAGATTTTATTAGATTAAGAGAAGGTTTTTTGAACTTAACCAATAATGATGTTGTTGTTGAAATAAGGTAATACTCAAGGCTTGTCAGTTTTGGAAAATAGATTAGTTTAATATGCAAATGGGTTGATACTAGTAGGTTGAAAATGAGAAATAATAGTATGATAAATATTATTATTAAAAATGGAATTTTCAAGATAAGTAAACCAGAGTAGTTTTTTCCTTTTGGGAATATATAAGAGTCGAGGAGATAGATGTGACTAGTCTAGGAGAGTGTTGTTGTTTGCAGAGCAGAGTTGTTCAAGATAGAGGATATTTTTATAATGAAGTTGTTGTTTAAAGATATTGTATTTGGGATGATTAGATAAAATGTTTTTAAAAGATATGTTGCTATTGTTTATAATTTTAGACCATGAAGAATTAGAGTATAAATGTATAAAAATTTGAAGATAATTTAGTAGTTGTGTAATTTTAAAGATAGTAGAGTATTTGTTTGGGCTATCAATAATCAGGTATGGATATGAAAGTATATTAGTAGTAGACCAGAGATTATTTTGAAGTTGCTAGAGTTAAATATGAGTAGTAGTACCAAGTATTGAGTTATTGTTAATTCAATTTAGAAAGTTGCTAATGTGAAATTGTAATTGAATATCCCAAATACTGTAAATATTATAAAGATTATAATTAAGAAGGGTGCTGTTAGGGGTAGAATGGGAGAGATGGGCTTTGTATTTGGCTATGATAAGATATTTGCTAAGAATTTGGTTATATGTAGAGAGAAAAATTACAATATTATAGATATGGTGTTTAATAGTAGGGATAATTACTATATTAATAATACAGTCAACCCTCCCTAAACTGATATGCATAGTGGATGGGCTTTGTACCGGTTTTGAGAGGTTATCAGATTTGAAAATATCACGTGAATGATCAGCATGAACCAACCAATCAAATTACAATATCTAAGGGTGCTCTCAATGATCAATATCGGGCACGAGTACTACAATTAATTTAAGTAATCCTTGCGATAATTTTGCTAAAGGTACATGTTGCGAAATATGGATATTAAATTTTAGCTTATTAATACAACTTTATGATAAAAAAGATGATCAGAGCTTATCTTTTTTTTTTATCACGAAAATGAACTCATTCGATCAACTAAACTGTTTTTCACTAATTAAAAATCAAGTTCCGTGCTCTGTTTAGCAATTCATTATGCAGTGCAAGATCCGAAAATTTACAAAATTCTACAATAAACTTGTAGCCTTAAGCTATAAAAATACTTTTATACATAATCAGACAAAATACCTTAAAATTCTTATTCCAAGAGACACATGCACTTACTTATATATGTGATATAAAAATTAAAAAAAAAAGGTTTATTCATTATATTATACATGATCTGAAGCTTAATATAGGCCGATGCTAATTAATTAGTTATGTCATATTTCGGTCCTTCCATTCTTAAATCAACCAACCAACCATAACGATAAGCTAAATAGAAATGTGTATAAAACTTGCATGTAGTTATGTACAATTGCTTTCACATGTCAGAATCAAAGCATATTATTGCAGTTTGTATATTGATGTAACTTATTAAGTTTGTAGATCACTGCACACCCATACAATTATCTGATTTTAGTCCAATTGTGTGATTGTGAAGTGCGTTTTTTGACGAAAGATTCAATACTATATAAATATAATATTTTAATAAAATTTGTCAACCATATCTATGTTCGCTAAAAAATCATTGCACAATCGCACAACCAAAAAACAATCAAGTGATTGTTCAAGTGGTTGTATAGGTGTGCAATAAATCTACAAATTTGATCAAGTTACATCAATGTGCAAACCATGATAAATAATCTTTTGCTTTAATCTGTGATTTCAATCACTAGTTTAATTTGAATGTTGGTCTATAAAAAGAAAAAAAAAAACCTGATAAGCTTTAAATATGTAAGTTTTGGTGCTAGAATTTTGAAAGAAAAAAAAAAAAAATCAAAAGTTGCAGATAACAAAGAAATAGAATATGCTCAACAAAACTTGAAATAATGGGTATGGGCATTGTTCTAGGAATCAACTTTACAGGATCAAAATTTTAATTAGGAACAGTAAGATTTATAAAGGTTAAGTATATATATTTTCTTTTTTTGTTCGTATACGATAATATTTCAGCTATAATCATGGGAAAAAAAAAAGATAAGGTCATTTTAGCTGGAAATTTGTGCAATAATCAAAAAAAATTAATATGTGATCATTATCAAGCAAATCCCAACATTACCCAAAAGGAACTCGCAGAGTAGGCAAAAAATGAATTCCATCTATCGAAAGCCCTGGCCCAAAGTACAATTTCTGATATTTTGAAAAGAAAGAAGGAGTTTGACGTAATGTCCACAAGTGACCTTGGGGTTAAAAAATGTCAGGTTGTTCTATTTCTTGAATTAGATACTGCCTTGGTGAATTGGGTTTTACAATACAAACATCAAGCTATATGTCTAAATGAGGATATGATTAAAGCTAAAGGCAAAAAATTAGCAGATTTAATAAAAATTCCAGAAAGTAATCAGCCAGAGTTCTCTAATGGATGGTTGCAGGCTTTTCAGGAGAGACATAATTTCTATCATTTTAGGCTGCATGGTGAGAGCGGATCTGCAGATGTTGATGCTATCGAGTTAAATCTTCCTACTATTATTCGTACAACTGATAAATATGACCTGCATGATATTTATAATATGGATAAGACAGGTTTGTTCTATACTATGGCTCCTAACTGTACTATCGCATCTTGTCAAATAGAAGGATCAAAAAAAGATTGTATACGACTTATAATTGCACTTATATCCAACGTTAATAGCATACACAAACTTCAGCCTTTTATTATTGGTCACTTCAAAAAACCTAGATGTTTTAAAAAAAAAACTAGAGAGGAGCTTGGCAGCTGATTTATTATCCGGATCAATGAATAAATTTTCTTCCACTTTCTCAAAAAGAGGAGGTGAGACAACTAGTGCTCC